CTAGCTATGAAGGTTGCTTGTTATATTTGGATCTCCAGACAAGTCTCTTTTCTGGATACAGAATCTAGCGACCTTAGCAACATCTTACAGGTTGAAATTTGTGTTGAATAGACAAAAAACTAAATTGATGGATGTAGCCATTACTAGGTAGTAGGAGATCATCATGAAAAATAATCTGTAAGCTAATTTGAGGCTTTCTTTTCTGAGTAACTTCTGGATTGTGTCTGCGTTGAAACCATGATTATGTCAGTAGGTGGGTGTATATGAACTACTACGTTTCTATACTCTGAATAGCCGCCAGTATCCTCAGGGCCCCTACGTCAATGGGGAATGTTATTTTGACAGGTATACCAGAATCCTTTAGCATCGGTCAGACGAAAATATGTGCAATAGAGTCCAATAGTTCAATAGTGATTGGACCCCATTGGACATAATTCCGTCTGACGGTTGCTGATGGGTCATGGTAGGTATACCTGTCAAAATAACATACCTCAGTCCAATAGTCATTGGACTGCGAATGTGTTTGAAAATTAAACAAAGTTCACTAATTGACGAGCGTCTTTACCGCTTAAATCAAAATTTGACAGCTACCAGTAAAGATTTGAATTCTGTTTTATCGCCGCATTGTCCAAAGCCTACTTGATCAAAGTGTGCGGTTCAAAGTATACATGAAAAAACCTAAAAGCTCTTTATTTCAAAGATGACTCTAGCAAAACATCAAGGTCATTTTAGGCTTTACTGGAATATGCGGAAAAGGCACATTTTCGAAAAACATCCTGTAACTCAGAAACAATAATACATATCAATATGCGGTTTTCACCATTAAGTTTGCCATAGAATTTGAACCTCAGTCATCAGTTTTCATCTATCTAGTTTGAAAATAGGAGTTTTCCTGTAAATGTCTTCAATTTGGCCCACTCTATACATGTGAAGGTCAAGGTAGATTCATTAAAAGTGGGACGCAATGTATATATGAAAGGGGTAATGGGGCTTACCCATTATTCAATAATCAAAATTGTTTGGCCTTCTTGTAATCAATATAGAATTTGTTTCAGGCTAGGATCCGTTCATCCAAACAAATTGCGCTAAATCGAGTTATAGATGGTTCTGGAAGCAGTTCGCAATCGGATTCGTTTTCTACGTTAACAAAGAGTACATCGTTGGATTCAGACGATGAGGAATTCAATAGAGCCAAACGGGGGTTGATAACTAGGCGTAGAGGAGCAATGAAATTAATTCATGAATACTTCATTTTGAAGTGAAATTGACAGATGAAACTTTCAAGATGACGACTGGGCGCCATCTGGGAAAAAAAATTAAATGGAAAGGGAGTCTTGTGACACATCTTTTGAAGCTCCTGACAAATTCTTCACAACTCTAGAATATAATGTCAATATCTTCACCTACTACAAAATGGCGGAACTTTTAATAATTGCCTGAATACATTTATATTTAACTACCATAATATGAGGTAATAAGCTTGAGGTCAGTTCAGAAGATGCAAAATGATTGCCTTGAACTTCCTGACATATGAACAGCCTATCCGATATTTTACGACAAACATTTTCGAACACAGTAATGTAAATATCTCTACAAATATTTATTATTCTCTGCCGTATATCCAATATCGAAGCGAGTTAGTTTCGTACACCTTTTGCTTCTAATAGCCCCCAAATGGTCCCAATTCGCCAGCATTTGGCAGATAAAAAGGAATATTTCTAGAAATATCGATATTAATGTTTGTCTTCAGGAAATTATTAAACGTTCCGCCATTTTGTAGTAGGTGAAGATATTGACTTCATATTCTAGGTTTGTGTCTAGGATTGTGAAGTATTCGTCAGGAGTTTCAAAATAATGTGTCACCAGAATCATCTTTCCACTTAATTTTTTCCCAGATTGCGCCCAGTCGCCATCTTGAGAGTTTCATATGCCAATTTCACTTCAAAATGAAGTATTCATGCATTAATTTCATTATCCCAAATTTCAATTTTTTGAGATGACCTGTAAAGGGGAACATTTGATGAAATGCACTGCATAGTGGAACCATGTGTTGCGGTTTTGTTAACTCTTCCGTAAAAATCTCACAATAAAGTCTTACATGAATACGTTACGAAGATTCACTCGGAATCGAAAAAAAATGAATTGAATCGTTTACAATTTTCTGGTAGGTTTTGAGAAATTTCACGATCTCTTACAGAAATACAGCAAGCAGAAATAAACCTACTGAAAGTCGATGTACCGGCTTGTTAATTATTTACATTATTCGTCATTGCCATTGATAGAAGTCAATTGCTTTCAGTGGAAGCTTAGGCACAGCATGTTTCTCATCAAAACAATTAAAATTAATTATTCCTTCGTGAGTCTTGAACGTAGTATGATTTTACCAGTTATATTCAGTATTAGCCATCGGATTTCGAAAAGCTTTGGATCAACAATGAATATCAGTAATATTTTATATGCCTGCCGGCACCGAAAGATTTTTTTCGTGGCATCGTGTAATGGTGAAATTTGGAAAAAAATCGAAATGCGTGTCGAGGTATGAATTTTCATTTTTACACCGCGCTTGGTGAAGGTTGTTTTTATTGTTGATTTCATCTGAGAATTATTATTTTATAAGTTTAAGTGGTCTGGTAGGGCAAAATATGTTGAAAAGCTAATACTCAGATTTTTGCTGATAAATACAGAGATGTATTTATTAAATTGAAATCTGTTATTGAACCTTTTGGGTTGAGTGGTACAAGGCAGACCAATTTTTTTTATTTCTCACCTGAAGAATAAAAATCAATTCAGTTTGCCTTCAACATCAGTGCTAAGATGCCTAACACTGGTGTAGCGAGTTATATGTGTGTAATTTTCATTGAAACAACCAAGTTTTTCTGAAAAAGCTTCAGGTACGGTTTTGTTAAAATACAGTGTTATGTATCAACATTACGACAAGAATTATGAATTATTCTACAATATAACAGTCAATGAAATTTGAAATGTCCAAATATGTGATGGAATTGGTCGATACTCAATGAAAAACCTTAAACACGTTCATACTGTAAATACAGTCCAGTCAGATCGTGAGTATGAATACGCCTAAGGAAGGTATTGTATAGTGAAACACGTGTCGCGGTTTTTTACACTCTTCAGTGAAAATTCCACATTAAACTGTTACTTGAATATGAACTGTTCAAATTACACAGAACATAAAAATCTAGAAAGTGAATATCACTCAAGAAAACGTTTTTGAAATATCTCTCAGTTGAAAAAGTAGAAATACAAATAACCCCACTCATTTGAATCAAGGAAGAACATTCAGTATGAAAAACTCACTGATTACTGATAGATGATCACTTTTGTTTGAGGGCGTTATTGTGTAGCGAAACCATTCAATTCCAAGTATCGGCCGGCTCCATTCACTTTTTTAAAAGATCCATTCTACGTCTTAGATCATAGTCATAGTCAAAATCTTCAAACACCACTGAACAGGCATTTTCCTCAATGCACTTCACAGCTTGACGTAGCTCAGAAGAAAACTGTTTCAATAATCATCATTAACAACAATTCTATACAATTTGTATGGTTTCGCATATCTTCTCTTTACTATAGCTGAACTGCAGGAGAAATAATAATCACCCGATATTGACTTATATATGTAATCATAAACAGTAAGATTACTGCTTTAGAGACCTCTGTTGCACTGCCTCCAGCAAACATAGATCAATATGGTTTTATGGTTTGGTTTCAGCCCCTCATGTCTTTCCATGGGTGTGTTTGACCATCTACTCTCCCCGCATTTTTTTTTCATTCCCTCTGAATTAGATCTTTCTGGGATTCAGTATTACCACCAGGTATTCACCCGAATTCGGCGGTCCTAGTCTCTCTATCCTGGTCCTCTTCATGAATTCTAAATAATACCCGAGTTATTAGTGATACCTCCATAATGTTCGTTCACACGAATCTTTCTCTAAGCCAGCAGCATGTTCCTTTCATCAACACTTCTTCACCTTAAAGTATGGCAGATTGATTATTCTAAAGAACTGTTATGGAATGGACCATGGAGTGGACCCAAGAAAGCAGCTGAAGCTACTTCTTCTTGTTTTGGTATCAAGGCCTCTTTCAATAGCAGAGACTGTTGAATTCATGATCCAATACGAGAAGGTAAGAAAAGATTTAACGAACACTTCTTTCTTGGGATTGTTCTCACGGAAAAATTGTGTTTATGGCCGAACTTGCTCACTTGACGTCGTCATATCGACAATTTTTCAAACAATTTTTTCAAAATTATCAAATTGGTACGAGTACTTACCGACATGCCAATGAAAACCAAAACGAGGCCTGGGAAATTACATTTTGGTTTTATACTTCTTTACAATGAGTTCGAAATGGATTCTTAACAAAGATGTGAAATTAAAAAATTGAAAGAAGAAACGACGAAGGTGTTGGTCAAAATAATGGAAGAAGCTGAGATATTGTTTTACCAACTTCAGTTTCGTAATATCATCAGTTGATGATCCAGACTGCTTGGCACTTTTAATAGCTTTGTACTCTTTCTTGAAGTTATTACGCAAGCTTTCAATGTTATTCTTTAGTTTTTTCTACAGAGAAGTTTGGTTTGAAATGAATTATTGCATCAACGATTTTTTTCATTGTAATAGTATACAAGGTGTTTCCTTTGAAATCAAACTTTGATGTCATTTTCGAAAAAACCGAATGTTGGAAAAATCTCCCGTTACGTCAAAAAGTACATCTTCGTGAGCATATTCGATATTTCGAATTTCGTAGAAATAGCTTGAGAAATAAGAAAAAAAAAGGAGGGTGAACCGAGAGTTTGTGTCACTCGGTATATAAATTTATCGTAACAACTAACTGGAACATTCATTTATTTCCAGTTTGGTGATTTTTTTTTGTGAATAAGTTTTCGTAGAATTGTTTTTGGTAAATTCATTGGATATCTGAATAACCCCTTTTTCTATTCTAGATTTAAGGGTGGACTCGTATCTGAAAGGGTAAAGATGAAAAGGTTAAAAATATGCCTAAAAAATTTACTTCATATATGCGACATCAGCATTGTTGCGTTTCCTTCGACTCACCCCGTATATTTTGGTTTAAGGAAGTGATTTATTTTACCTTCCTAATTTTTCTTTCCTACAGATTAGGAAAGTGCAACTTATATAAATTTAGGTTCGAAAACCTTCATGAAAAGATGTATCTGAATTAACTATAAAAAATATAATTCATTTACAGGTTACATGAATCTAAAGGACACAAATTCGTGGCGAAGTTTTTTCGTCAACCAACATTTTGTACCTTCTGCAAAGACTTCCTCTGGGGATTCGGAAAACAGGGTTACCAGTGCCAGAGTGAGTTTATTTGGACTATTAGAAAAAGAATAATATCACATAAATCTTTTCGCAGGTTGCCAAACAGCGGTCCATAAAAAATGTCATGATAAATTATTAGGAAAATGTCCTGGATCAGGACGTGAATCAGAAAATACAGTGGTGAGTTATGGTCTAGGATGAATTCATTTATATTACTGGCTATCCCTGTTATGTTTTAGATTTCAGTATATTTTAGAGTTGGCAATAAAATGAATATGTATTATGAAATGTAAATCAAATAAGAGCTTTTTTTGAATGTCTCTCAATTTTGTTAGAAAAGGAGTCAAATATTTTTAAAATGGAATAAAAATAGTATCTAGCTCATTTATTGAACACTTTGAATGAACTTACTGGAGAATATTTTTCAGTAACTATAGGGACATGATGAAATTATTTTTTTGTGAGAAATTGCTACTCCAGTTCCAAAAGATTTCCATTCGAATCATTTGAAATGTTTCTGTGAGAGTATCCATTGAAAAAAGTCACAAGTCTTTATTCGATGTTCCAGATTATCAGAGTTTATTATGATGATTGGGCACAGTATACTTATATACAGTAATCCCACTTCGGGTGATTTTTGGTTTGAATTTTCTACACGCAGACCCAGGAATTGCAGTCTGAGGTCTGCGCAAACGACGAGTTCAAGATAGCCACGCAACCCTTCCATAGTTGTCGAATTTCATGGGTTTCACCCAACCTACTATATATTTTGTCACATCCGAATATGAACATCTGCCAATTTCATGAATTTTTAAAATCTACTTGAAACATAGTTCATCATTGTCCAAATGATCTGGGCTACTTAAATATTACACAAATGCAAAATTATCTTCTGTACAATATTCTCAGGTGACCAACATGGTTTTCATCGACTGTATTTTTTTGAGCAGTTTATATGAATAGTTGTAATGTTGAGCAGTGTTTAGACGCTTTGGTTGAGATTGTAGTAGGGGAAAATATCGTTAGTGTCAAATACGTCAGCATTGTAAAAACTGAAACTCCTGGACAACAACACCAAAGGGACCGACGCTAAGTGGGACTACTGTATATAAGTATACTGTGGCTTGGGCCTCAAATCAGACGAATAGCTATTTTCTGAAAAAATATAATTCATTTACAGGTNAGAGCCGTCGGTACAAAACCCGGAAGCCGTTTCCACATGAGTCCATGTTTCTCCATATATTGACTTATTTCATCCATAACATCTGCACCTTGCGACGTCGTTTCAATTTCTTGAGAAAATAGTAGCTCTCCTTTAAACATTTTAGCGGCGGGTCGCATTGTATCGTGTCGACTCAACCAATATATTTTTTAGGATGGCTCCGCGGACCGCTTGGGATGCTTCCCGGGAACACCAGTGGTCTGCGGACTACCGATTGAGAACCACTGATATAAAAGAGCAATTTGTTCAGGCCAGTCTCAACTTCCTACTGTAGGTTAATGGACTGACACTTGTCAGAAACAACTACTCCCCTGGCTAATACCACGAAGGGCGTTGGAATATATCCGACAGGTGCCAGTGCAGGATTCTTCACTGAAGTTATTCCTGCATATGCAGATGGCGATACAACTGACGCAATAGATTTTCAATTATTGGAACACACTTGCAGACCGGTTTCGGTATGTTTGGCCCGAAACACTTTTCTCTATACAGTTTATATCCCAAATATTTGATATGGGATAGAATCAGATATCATCGCTCCTAAAAATGTACCCCTTTCAATTTATTCTAAATTCAATTCAATTATTTCAAAATTTCAAACAAAAATGATAACGTCGTGAAATTATATAGAATACATTCATTAGCCAGGGCTATATATCTATAATGGTTCATATTTTGAATTTGTTTATTTCACATTCTTAATTTTGTATTCGAAATCCAAACAAATATTTCTACAGGTTTCGTAAACAGAAGTGGTGATACGATTTGATGTGTTGTTGTGTATGCTATAATTAGTTGACTTTGAAGTTTTCATGTTACCATAATATAACTAACGAAAGATCTAACAAAATTTTTATTCATATGACTGTGCTACAGTCTATTTATTTTGAGACTCTCATTAGTATAATAATAATAATAATATTTATTAATGAAAAGAGAAAGCATACAGCAAATACAATTTTTTTTTGTATAAATGCTACTCAATAAGTGAGCAAATAATTGTTTCGAGATAAAATTACCTTACTCAACTACATGAAAAAAAAGATATTCAATCCAATACAAGAACATTACGAAAAAAAGCATTACACTTAAAAAATATAGATGTAAAGGACAGTGTAATACAAAAAGCAAACACAAAAATGATAACAATTACATAGTAAATATTTTTTTTGGATAGATGATACATACTCGATAAGTGAGTAAACACCTGTTTCGAAATAAAAGTACATTACTTAACTACCTAATAAATATTCAGTCCAATACAAGAACACCAC